AGTTAGCCTGTTAAGTGTGGTTGAGTTCTGAAGTTCTGAAACTACCTCGGTGTCTTCTAGGCTGGTAGAAATGGTTTTTAATTTGTTGAAGAATGAAAACCAGATTTCCTACTGTTAGTGGAGGGAGTTACAAAGAGGAAAGTGGGAAATACTGTGTAGACACCATGGTTGTTGAGTGCAACTGGAGGTGGCAGAGTAAACATGCAGGTTCTGATTGCTTTTCATATGTGTATTTATGGGCAGGTAAGAACGTATGGGATGATACACCTGTGTTTGTATCCACTGTGTGTGTGTCTTTGTAGAGATTGCAAGTTAGATGGCTTGAATTCACTGAGAGAATGGTAAACCAAATTAAAAACAAAATGTGAGTGTTTGTATAAAAATATCTGTGAACCTGGTGTTGAATGACTCACACACTGCACCCTGGGGAGCCTGTCATGCAGCCAGGTCCAAGGGCAGGGTGCCAGCAGAGTCAGTGTCCTGGCTTGTATGCAGCCATGCTGTTGCCCTGACCTCAGATGGGAGCAGACTGACGCTGTGAGTTCTCATGTCTGTCCTCACGTGTCCTGTGTGCATGTGTGCTGTGCCTGTGGGACCTGTGTACTAACGCCATCACCTCAGGGCTTGGATGTCAGGACAGGAATTGGAGAAGATACGAGCGTTTGGTCGTTCTTGCTCTGTTTTTGCAGTTTTCTATTAGAATGAATTTGTGTTGGAATAATTTTGTTTTTTGAAATTTGATAAAATAGCAGAGGTTTGGCTCTGGTCCATCTTCAAACTGAACCCAGTGGGTTCTTAAAAAGGCACCCTGTGGAAAGACTCTCAGGCATAATGGGGATCACAAGCCTCCCATTTGATTCTTGGGTTGCCAGCCCACAAACTCTCCTGGATTCCTGGTTTTCCAGTCTGTGTCTAAACATCTAGTTAATTTTAACACATCTGGGAGCTTTTGTTTTCCGAGCGGAAACATCGAAACATCATTGCCTTCTTTGAGGAGCAAGCATTGATCCCGGAGCCTTCATCAGTATCATGCGTCATAGGAAGTACTATTTTTCCCTTGAGTAGCAGAGTAGCTTTTCCTCTGGTTCTCAGGCTGCACTTCAAAGCCCCCAGGGGCAGTTCAGGCTACAAGAATGTTTCCTGGGACACAAGGACACCTGCCAGACTGGGCACAGTTTAGAGATTCTAGGTTAGCTTGACGGAGTTTCACCGTGAGATGTCTACAGTCCTGGAGTTGAGGCTCTATCTTTGTGAAGTTGTGATTTCAGTGAAACTTTTATTTACAAAAAAGCAAGTACTTTATGAAATCAGTGTGGGACGGAAAATGAGGATAAAATAATGGTTTCCAATTTGATGCCGAGGTCTGGGGATTTGAGCAGGGCCAAGCCTACTCCATCCTGTACTTCTAATTCAGTGTGAGTCACGGATGGCACAGTGGGAGGCAGCTTCAGTTTTGTGTTGAGTTCTTGCAATAATGTCAGGGAATATCCCTTGTGGAGTTTACAGCACTACACAAATGCAAGTGCTAAGGTCTTTTTAAAAGACAATTACATTTCTCTTTCTTAGTCAAGCCATCAAAGTGAAAGCCTTTTTGGTCAAAATGAGTTTCTCTTCGGCAAGCTTTCTTTACCATGTGTCTTCGTGAAGCACATCCCAGAGGTGTGCCATCCGACAGAGGTCTTCGTTTGTTTGCCGAGCTCATCCTTTCGTATCAGTGTTTATGAACAGCCAGCTGATCCTAAGGCTAACAGCCAAACACTACTTATGGCCCTTACTTCATATTTGCGTGTCATTTCAAGTCACAGGTTGTATCGTGGTTTGAGTGATTCACTAAGCATGTAGATATGCTTTTGATTTGAGAGTATGTTCTATAAACACAGAGTAATAATCACGGTAAAAATATTGTGCTATGTTAATATTTATGCAATTGTAATCAGTAACCAAAGGAAACAGGATGTGCTAACATATTTTATTAGGTTAAAGATTAGAATTGGAAATCCGATGTAAACACGAAAATAACTTAACATCTGGGTCATAGGTTATCACACAAAGTTAGTTTTGAAAATTATTTTAAAGATAGTGTAATCCATCCTTCTTGTTAAACAAATGAAAACATAAAAACTGAAGCCCTGAGATATGAAGTGAAATCTCTGATAAACTGTCTCTGCGCAGTGACGTCTTCTGGGTCTCCCTTACCGTGACATCCTGTTTCCTGCCCCGGGGTGATAGACCCCAGCTGCTGATGGGGCTCGACAGTGCACTGGGAAAGCTCTGCATTGTCAGAGAAAGACGTAGGTCTGTATGTCATGTGCGTAAGGACCCACTGTTAAACAAGTGCTAAAACCCCATCCTAGAACTCCCTAGAGCTCCCTTACCCTGCCGTCCAAAGAAGGTGCTGGTTGCTGTAGAAGTCGTTTCTTGGTGTAGGTCTAAGCATGGAAGCTCTTGCATGCCGGCATTGAGAAGCTCGTTCTGTGGCCTTGTGACTGTCTTGATTCCACTTTCCTTTGCCTTGGCTTCCTTCTCAGATGAGGTTTGTGAGGGCGCGCACACAGAACCAGCGGCTCTGATTCGTGGTAACAAATAGGGGTCATTTTGGAGTAGAATGCTTCGTCTGCAGACTTGAAATTGCTTCAGTAGGACTTTGCTCTTACATGATGAAGGGAGCACCTGGGCCTCCACACACCGTGTCGTGTGCTGGAGGCGTCTGAGGCTCAGCTCTTCTGCATCTCCGTGCACACTCTGACCGCTGTACCACAGCGTCTGCAAGCACTGAGCTTGGAAAGGATGTGGGGCTGGAGGCTCCCAAGTTGTGACTGTTAGCAAGGAGAAGTCACAGATGTGGACCACGGTTGTGAGGGGGGCCAGTTTTCCGTGGGCATGAAGCAAGGTAGGTAAGGTCCAGAAGCCTAGGTCAGGGGGAAACCAAACCTCAGCTATGCAAGACACAGCCTAGGGGAGCGTGGGTGTGAGCGCGGAGAACTCCTGAGGGAACCTGCTGTCAAAAGAGGTGTGAGGGGCGGCAGCCAAGAGGAGGACCTGGCAGCCTGACCGGAGCAGCAGTGATAAAGATGAGCCGTGCTTGGGCGATTTCTAGTTTGCTGCTCTCTGCCCGTAGTCTTTCTACAAGTCCACATTCCTGTTTACGGACCCTGCCTATGGTTGAGCATGTCTGTTTGGGATGTATGTTCTAAAGCTGTGTTTTCCACAGAGTGCCTTAAGAACCCACTGGGTTCAGTTTGAAGATGGACCAGAGCCAAACCTCTGCTAACCACCTGGTTGGCATAAACTCTGTGTCTGAGTGCTCCCAGTGGTGCTTGGGTCTTATTAAGCATTACTGTCAGTTAGGTGCCCCCCACCACATATCTGGTCATTTCCCCTGCCTCAGATGCAGTTACAGCCAGACGGCTGCGGGAAGGTGGGGGGCTGGGATATGTGCAGTGAAGTTTTGGCTGTGTGTCAAGACACTTCTTGATTCACTTGGCTCACAACTGGGAACTCATTGAAGTCTTATGACTCAGTGTTAACATCAGATCCGTCTTTTGTTCTCTCAAGCCAGAGCTTTACTTCTTACACTGTCAGAACACACAGCCATCGTGTGCTGACCTGATTGTTCCAGGGTGGTCTAGGAGGAAGATCTCTGCTGGCCAGATCTGGCCAGATCAGATTTGTAGCTCCAGTTCTGTCTGCTGCAGTGTCAGTATCCACCTGCCCTCTGGATATGAAGTACTGCCATTGGGCCATGGCCACAACCACCTTCCTGAATTCAGGAAAACCCATTGAGTGGCAACAGTTCCCACATACATTCCTGGCTTAAAATTCCGGGTACTCAGGTATACTCTGGCTCCCCTTGTGCGAATGTGCTTGCTGCTCAAGGTGTGGTGTGTGTGTTCATGAACATAACCAGGGGGTGAGTAAACGGATCATCCAGAACACTAGCAATGCCATCATCTTAAACCACTGAATGCAAGTGTGGGCCCGGGGAAGTTCTGAGCTTGCATTGGTTTGATTTTGGGCTCTTTGGATGACGGATCTCAGCAGCCCCATGCCAACACACTGAAGCCAAAATCATGGCGCCTGTGAACAGGTAGGCAGTTTTCTAAATTGACTGTCTTCCGAGAAGATTGTCAGCTTCTTCAGGCAGGGATTCTGCTTTCTTGCAGCTCTCCACCACATACAAGATTGTTTGCTAGAGTATACTGTCAGGATGCTTGATAAATTTTTGTGAAATGATCAACTAGTTCTTTTTAATTTATTCTACAAAAATCTGGTGGGGATTGTGCCCCAGAGTAAGAACAGGTGATGGTCTTTCCAGAAAGAAAGATGCTTGAGTGGTCTTGGGAAGGTGAGTGAGGTGGAGACAGGGAGGTGGAGGGTTGAGATGAAGCTTGCGGGTTGGCCAGAGCTTGCAGGGCGTGGGAAGCCACCCTGGCAGGAGTCGTGTACAGTTCCAGTGGTGGCAGGGAAAGCCCCAGAGTCATTTATTTAAATCTGGGAGTGATGGCCCGATATTTTGTTTGTCAAGTTCACAGTGTTTGTGGTGGTTTGGGAGATCATTCGGGTTGGGGAGCTTTGTGGAAATTAGCCAGAAGTATCTTCTTTGCTACTCGGTAGAAGAGACAGTGCAGCTTGTCATGGGGCAGGCTGGGGACTGCTGGCTCCTCGAGGTGCTGTTGCCACTCTGGCGCCAGGTCCAAGGGTAGCCTGTGGTGTTGACATTGGACAGCATGGTGCAGGCGCAGGTGACCGCACAGGCCTCCTTCTGCTGTGCGTTGCTCTGAGATCGGACAGAGTACGAGTGGGCAGCAGTGAGCACAGTGCCCAGGGACAACATCCTAGCAAGCCACACCTCTCCATGTGGAGATGTTCGGGGTTCTCTTTACTGATCCAACTGTCAATATGTTATTTAAAATATAAGAAGCATATATAAGAAGTATAAGAAGATACTTTTGACTGGATATTACTTAACATTGCCTTTTTTTTTCCCCTTTAATTCAAAGTACCAAGACACAAATATGCAAGGAGTTGTATATGAACTAAACAGCTACATAGAGCAACGGCTGGATACTGGGGGAGACAACCAACTGCTTCTCTACGAGCTGAGCAGCATCATTAAAATAGGTAAGGGGCGTCCATGTTCCTCCTGGAGACCCCAGGCCAGACATGCCTTCCCCCGGCGCCGCAGTGACAACAGCTCACTTACCTAGAGGCAGGTGGAACCCGCTAATTTGCTTCTTCACTTCTGTAGTTGGACTGCGTGTTAAATAAACATGTTTTATTATGAAACTACAAGATTGAGTCAGACGTAAACATTCCTGGATCATGTAGCTTCTGCGATGTCTGATGCATCAAGGAACCCATTGTGTCATCTAACACCTAGTCTTGATTGGGAAGTGTGGTTTTATTGAATGCATTCACATTTCTACGCAAAATCATTGATGTGTAAAGGGAAACGAAGCTTTGAAATTGGTTCAGTAGTTGAGGAATTCATATAACTGTGGTGGAATAGTTTGTATTGTGACTAGAATGAAACAAGTTATATCAGAAGTAGTTTAACAGAAGATGCACTTTTCTCAATATATGGCTTTCTTCTGATACCCACTATGAAAATTGTATCTTTCAAATCTTACTTGAAAATAGAAACATTCTTGGCCCAATAATACTGATAAGATCCATTATATTCTCAACCATGTGCTAAGTATTGTGTGCATTAAATCGACATATTTGTATTACCCACTCCTGGAGTGGTCTCTAACACCGGCACCATCGTGCTTATGCGAAGGCCGTGGGACAGAGCAGCACACGGGTGCAAGGAGCTACACGGGAGCTTAGTGCAGGCAGGTCCCGTGAGTAACGCCTTAACCCCTGCACGGGGCGTGTTCACAGACAGTGCTGCAGGCGTGTCAGGTGAGACCAGTCGGTGAATGCATCACCCTTTCCCGTCGAGGCTCACTCAGCATTTTGAATATTGCTTCTGACATCTCAACAGAATTTAAGTGCCATTCACTGATTCTCAAAACTTGATATTTACAGTTTGAGAAAGACACTGTTATTCAGTACGTTGAGTACTACGTGAATTTGAGCATGCCACATCCCCCTAAAATTTGTATCTATTAACTAGAAATACACGATTTGATTGTATGTGTTAGCAACAGAATCCACAGGCTGACCTGCTGCATGCCCGTTGCTTATGGTAACACGTGCATTCTAGAGGTTTCTACGTGAGCCTAAATGTTAATTCACACCCGGTACCTGCTCTCACTTCCCTGCTCAGTCACTTCCCTTTTTTTACTTTGGCAGCTACAAAAGCCGATGGATTTGCACTGTATTTCCTTGGAGAGTGCAATAACGTAAGTATCTAAATTTAGAATTTGGTGCTCTAGATAAGAACACACTAGCTCTTGAAAAAAAAAAATTCTCTTATATTACAGTTGACTTAACACCCATCCCAGGAATAGGTACTGTAAACTCATTTTGTGTTGTGTTTCTATTTGTGGTCGTTACCAGTCGGGGGTTTTTACCCATGTGACAACATTTATGTATAAGCTCTTGCAACTGCCGTGTTTATTTGCTTTGGTTTGCGTTTGCCTGCATTGCCAGCGGTGCCTCGTGGCTGAGGGCGGTGTGACGGCTATTCCAGCACTGTGCGCTGGGCTGTCACTGAACAGATGCTCTCTACAAATCATTGTCGAGCGTTCCTTGCATGTCACCGCGTCATTACCGCTTTCTTTGCCCTCTTTTTCTTGCAGCTTTGCAGGTCTTAACCTCTTTAGTCCTTCTGACAGTGTGTCCTGTGCTGTGGTGTCCTAGCTGGGGAGCATCTGCTGATAGCCACAGCTCCCTGTTTCTATGTGACAGATCGGCTCATTTGCCCATTTTCTTGGAAGTACCTTTGGCAGGTTCAAGTGTCAAATCCATTCTCGAATGAGCTTTCTACAGCCCTCAAACCCCAGAGCTTACTTCAGCATAACTTGATTTTCTGACCAACTTTGGCAAGAGTAAGTGGCTTCATCCTTCAGCCTGAGCTGAGCTGCTGCCTGCTCTCTGTCCCAGCACTGTGGAAAGTCCCTGGTGACACTTTTCACCTAGAAAACTCCTGACTCTGTCTTCCGTCACACGTTTACCCGGGAGTTGCTGCCAGGGCGTTGGCATGGCTAGGAAGTTGTTGGTGATCCCAGGAACAAACCAACTGTAGGATTTAGTGAGCTTTATTTCCATTTAGATCTCTGTGAATGGCTTCCATTCTTGTCACTTCAGGTGCATGAAAAAAATATTCATAATGTCTGCTTTAGTTTTGATGGTTTATGTGAAAGGCAGGGTTTGATGGGGGAGAGCTCCTATGTCCGCTGGTTCACTCTCCAGATGCTGCGATGTCCAGGCCTGTGCTAGGCTGAAGGCAAGAGCCGGATGCTGCATCTGCATCTCTCGTGCTGAGGGAAAACCAAGCATTTGGGCCAGGCACTGCTGCTTCCCCGCGCACCTAGCAGGGAGCTGGAGGTGTCAGTCAGGTGGGGTGCCGGCATCACAGGCCCTAGCTTCACCCGCTGTACCACAGTGCTTGGGTTTATTTCAGGAGCATCGCACAGGTTATCCAACCTTCCACACTGCTTGCAAAAGAAGCTCACACACTTTTGAAATATATGCTAATTGTGTGAAATAAAGTGGACAATGGCATACATATTTTTCTTATATTCCTTCTTTATACATAAAAGGCTGTCACAGCACAGACTGAGGAGCCTAGTGATTGCCCGCTGTCCTGGCCACGGACATTTCCATTTCTTTTAAATGAATTACTTTCTTTTAAAAGACAATATGTTGGGCTCGGTGCAGTGGCCTAGTGGCTGAAGTCCTCACCTTGCACATGCTGGGATCCCATATGGGTGCTGGTTTATGTCCCAGCTGTTCCACTTCCCATCCGGATCCATGCCTGTAGCCTGGGAAGGCAGTCGAGGATGCCCCAAAGCCGTGGGAGACCCGGAAGAAGCTTCAGGCTCCTGGCTCCTGGCTTCTGATCGGCTCAGCTTCAGCCATTGTGGCCACCTGAGAGATGAACCAGTGGAGTGAAGATCTTTCTGTATCTCCTTCTCTCTAAATCTCACTCCTTCTTTCCTAAATCTTACTTTGCATTACAAATAAATAAATCTTTTAAAAATTCAAGTTTTTTTGAAAACAGATTTATTGCAAAGTCAGATATACAGAGAGGAGGGGAGACAGAGATCTTCCATCTGCTGATTCACTCCTCAAGCGGCTGCAACAGCTGGAGCTGAGCTGATCCGAAGCCAGGAACCTGGAGCCTCTTCTAGGTCTCCCACGCGGGTGCAGCGTCTCAAGCCTTTGGGCCGTCCTCGACTGCTTTCCCAGGCCACAATCGGAGCTGGAAGGGAAGTGGGACCACCAGGATTAGAACTGGTGCCCATATGGGATCCTGGCACATTCAAGTTGAGGACTTTAGCCACTAGACTACTGTGCCAGGCTCAAAAATTCAATTTACTTACCAATTTTCTTAAAAAGTGGCCTCTTTTTAAGTATAGCCAGAAAGTGTTTCTTAAACAACTCAATTTTCAAGACAAAAATTGTGTACATTAGCTACAAAAATATATTACCACGGCTCAAAGAAGCTTAGATAAAGTTTTTAATCTATACACATTAACATCATTCAAATAATAAGAAAAAGGTGGACCAAACTTTGGCCGAGTATTTAAGATGCTGAGATGCCCACATCTGTTCTGGGAGTGTCCAGGTTTGCGTTGAGGGTCCATTTCCAGCTTCGGTTCTTGTGTGCCCTGGGCAGGGGAGTCCCAGGCTGAGTCTCGGGCCCCTGCCTTGAGCCGGAGCCACTTTGGGTTACTGTGGTCAGGTGGAGAATGAACCAGCAGGAGAACTCCGTTTCTCTGTGTCTCTGCTTTTCAGATAAATGTTATTTTTAGAAAAAAAAGATGAAGATGAGAAGCATTCTAGAATTTATAATTTTTTTCTTCTGTGTTTGGAAGTCAGAGGCAGCCATCTGCTGGCTGTGTGCGGAGAGCTGCGGCTGGGAAAGCAGCCAGCAGCTCTGTGGAGTGTCCCCTGGGGTGACAGGGGCAGAAGTGCTTGGGGCATCATCCACTGCTTCCCAGAACACGTTAGCAGGAAGCCAGAGTCGGAAATGGAGCTGGGACCTAAACTCCTGGCGTGGAAGACAGGGTACAGGCCATGGGCATCCCGAGTGTGTCTCAAACACTACATCAAACACCCACCATGCAATTACTTAAAAAGTAATATCTTACTTTTCATGTAAGTGAAATTCAGTCATTGTTGAAATTGAGGTATGAACTATAATTTAAATAATATTTAAATGTGTTAATGGAACTCACATTACCATCGTCTCCTTGCTGGAAAAAAAAATTTAAGAAGCGAGCATGGAAAGATAAGCAGAAAACAGAGAGCAAACTCAGTATTTCACACCAAGCATGTCATAGGACTGTGCAAAGGTTTGGTAACTGCAAGAAAAATGAATAACCACAGCTATTTAATTCCTGGGCTGTCAGGTGTATGAAAATCCAAATTAGCTTTCATTCCAGGAGCAAGGGCAAGCAGGTGCGATGGGTTAACCACGAAGGTTGCTTCAGTGAGTGAAGGCGGGAGCTTGGCGGACGCGCTTGGCCGAGACAGTGCAGTGAAGCTAGAGCTGCGGTGAGGCTGGTGTAGCAGACCTTGGGCTGTGTCCGGTCGTCTTATTTCTGTTTGTTGAATTCTTGATGTGGTGTGAGATTAAGCCGGTGTCTGTGAAGCAAAGGTATGCTACTGCAAAAACCAAAAGGAAAAGTACAGGAAGGAAGGCGGAAGAAGGCACGGAGGGAAGCGTCGTGGTGGAGTCGGAAGGGAAGCACATGACATACCAGCAGCTCTTCCCTGTAGATACACATTCTGTGTATGTATCCCCGTAGTGATTTTAGCAGTGCCGTCCCTTGCCGGATGCTCTCCAGTGGGTCAGGCTAACCCGTGCCTGTTACCGTCCTGTCCCCTGTTCTCAGGGTTCTCCACCTGCCAAGCCCCCAGAGAGGAAAAGCCCGAGTTTTGAAACGCCCTGAGAAATTCCTCAGCTCGGGCACTCCCCCATCTCTCCAAACTTGCCAGCTCCCTGAGCGTACCTAGCATCCTTAATCTGTAAAAGTGGGGCTGGGCGGAAGACTGGGTGGTTGCCATCTACTCTTGCCTTCAGTTGGCCACCTCTGCTCAATTTATTAATCCTTAATGCATTTGATTAAACCATAAAGTCCTTAACAAAACGGAAGCCTTATGCAAAGGAAGCTAGATGAATGTGGGACCTCATTGCTCAAGCCTGTCCACATGAATCTAAATTTGTTTACTATCTAGCGCCATCTCGTGTTTGAAGATGAAAATTGCAGCGAATGTACATATTTTTCATCTTAAAATTCATCTGTTTATGCTATTTCTCAGAAGTTTTGGTATTTTGGGTTTTATTTTCTTTCATTCAAAAAAGGTTTTTTCTTACTAGTTCCCCCTCACCCCGGTCTCATAGGTCACACAGTAGCTTCAAGGTTTTTGGTTTTCTTTTTCGTTTCTTCAGCGATACATTGGTGATTCAGGAACATGTTGCTTAACTTCATGTTGTTGTTAACTTTCTATTTTTTATTCCTGTCGTTGATTTTGTTCTATAGCTTTTCATTTAAGGAGATGTTTAGTAACTGATTAAAACATGGATTTGCGCCTTTTTTTTTTTTGGGTTAAAGTATTTCTAAAATTTAGCTGGCTGTTCATTGAAGTGCCACCATGATTACACATTTTCTAAGATGATCTTTGATTTTCCTGTGGAAGGGGAGATGAGAGCCAGTGTTAACCATTGCAGATCCCTTGGGCAGGCAGCAGTAGATCAGACCTTCCCATTTCATTGAAAACTGGTGTTTTATGGACTTAATTAGTATGAACATTTTTATTGATTTTGCACCAATTGACTTCTCCAAGTTCACTTTTTATCATTGGAATGCATTTTTATTGTATCGCTGCATCAAACCGTTGCCTACTAACTTACATCATTTGCCTTTAGAAGTATGCATTATTTTGCTGTTATCATGAAAATATTGGCTCTTTCTTAAGTATGTGAAAGGAAAGCCTATTTACTCCTCAATGCTTCCTGGTCTCTGAGTTGATCTCCCCGACTTCGGGCATTCCTTTCTCTGTGGGTTGGGTGACCACAGCTCCAACACTTGCGTTCCCCCGAGCCCTGCCCCAGGCTGATGGAGCGTTTGCTTGTTTGTTGCACATCACAGGGAAACACTACATAGAGCCTACAGTTTTTATATTAGAATAATGAGGCTGTAAAAATGTAAGAAAATATAAGACATTCTAC